GATGTCAGATGTTAAGAAAGGAAAGCCACAGAAGCGACCATATAGAGATGAAAGCACACTGACAGAAAGAAGAAAAGATTATTGAACAGACTTAAACAAACAGGAGATAAACAAGATATAGATGACTTCTGGAATGAAATCCTTGGTGAAAAGAAGTTTTATAAGAAGAGAAGCGGTCAGTTCTGGAAGTATCTTTGCACATTACCTATAAATCTTGAACGCTACCAAATCTTCAATGAACTGAACAAAAGAACTGCAACACTTATGACAGAGGACAATTGTTTCGTTTATGCTTGCATTCAGGCTGGAGTAAATGAAGAAACTATTGACCACATGAGAGAAGTCATTCGTGTTAGAGACTTTCCTCAAAGTAAAGTACAAGAAATTTCTGACGCAACAGGTATAGCATTTAATGTTACCATTGGTTACTTCAATGACTCAAGACATAATGAAATAAAGAGATACATACCAAAAGAATGTAAAACTGTTCGAACTATTGACTTACTTCTTGTTGAAGACCACTACATGCTAAATGAAAGACTTCCAATGACAACATATTTCATTCGCAACTATATAGAAATCTTGAAGGAGTGTGGTGGAATGAACATTGAGAAACAGATGAAGATTTATACAAAGAGAGAAGATAAATATGTAGTTCGCATGGATAGAACTACACCGCTATGGGATGTTATGAAAACATTGTGGGAGTGCAAATATTTCGAACCTATTTCTTATGGAGAACTTTTCACATATACGACTGACTTATATAAACAGAACCTTGCACCATTTAAAGATTTGACATATACTCCAAAGTATTGTGTACAACTGAAGAAGAAAGCCGAGTCAAAAGAAGTAAATAAAAATAAGTGCAAGTTCATTCCTGAGCACGTTTTCTTTGCTGACTTTGAGTGTAGTACGGATGGCTTTCATAAAGCTTTTAACATCTGTTACGACAGTGAAGATGGTTCAGTGAGTCAAAGCATTTGGGGTCAGAACTGTGCAACAGAATTTTTGGAACGACTTCCTGACAAGAGTTTAATATATTTCCATAACCTCAGCTATGATATAAACTTCATCTTAAGACACATGACAGAAGTGAAAGGAACTCCCATCATTAAAGGTTCACGAACAATGCAAATAACTGGCTTATATAAAGGAAGGGCAATTATTATAAAAGACTCTTACAGTGTTATAAATAAGAAGCTTAAACTATTTCCTGCTATGTTTAACTTACAAACAGGACCGAAAGAAGTATTTCCATACAACTACTACAGCAGTTTTGTTAGCAAATGACAACAGAACTGGTGTCATTTCTGAAGCGTGTAAGTTTATCCAGGATGCAGATACATTTATGAAAAACATAGATTCCATCAAAGGTTGCAGAATAGATGAAAACCACTTCGACTTAGAAAAGTATAGCACATTTTATTGCAAACAAGATGTAAGAATTTTAAGAGAAGGTTTTGTTAAGTTCCGCAATGATATATTAAAAGAATTTGATTTAAACGTTTATGACTACGTTAGTATTTGTTCTATTGCTAACAAATTGTTTGAGAACAGAGTGTACTTCCCGAATGGAAATTTATATGACCTCTCAAATAAACCAAGAGAATTTATTTCGAGATGCATTCAAGGTGGAAGATGTATGTTGTCAGATAACATTAAACAAAAGAGCGAAAAGAAACTCATTGCTGACTTCGACGCTGTTTCATTATATCCATCCGCTATAGCAAGACTTTATACTTTAGAAGGAATTCCAAAAGTATTGAAGGATGAGATGTTAAGCACTGAATATTTGTTAAAGCATTTATTCGATGACGACCAAAAGGAACCCATTGGTGAAAAGTTTATGTCTGGCTTCTTTGTTCTCATTAAGATAACAGAGATTGGAATACATAGACACTTTCCTTTAATAGTTTGTGACCCTGAACTAAATCCAGAACTTAACGTTCCCAGAAGTTCAAACACTTGCTGTTTAATGTATGTTGACCATATAACATTACAAGACCTCATAAAATATCAAGGTGTCAAATGTGAAGTGTTGCAAGGATACTATTACGATGGAAACAGAGATATTAGAATAAGAGATGAAGTAAAGAAGTTGTTTGAGTTAAGGTTAAAGTATAAGAAAGAAGGAAATCCTTTGCAAGAAAATATAAAGCTCATTCTGAACAGTATTTATGGCAAAACTATTCTATCTCCTATTGAGTCAAAAATAACCATAGTAAATGACAAAGATGCTATAAGATATGCCATCAGAAACTACAACCATATAGTGAAGTTCGAAGGTTTGGATGGTTCAGATAAAACTATTTTCAAGCTAACGAAAAGCATTTGCAGACACTTTAACTTCTGTCCACTTGGTGTTAATATTCTATCTATGTCGAAGAGAATAATGTGTGAAGTATTCTGTACTGCTGAAGACTTAGGAATGGACATCTTTTATAGCGATACCGACAGTATGCATCTCTACAATGAAGATATCCCTCGTTTAGCTGAAGAGTTTGAGAAACGTTATGGAAGAGTTCTCATTGGTAAAAACCTTGGTCAATTTCATAGCGACTTTGCAGAAATAACACCTGGAAAACAAAGTTTAGCATACAAGTCAATATTTTGTGGAAAGAAGACTTACATAGACTTACTCACTAACGATTTAAATGAAGTTGCATTCCATGCACGTTGCAAAGGTGTCAAACAAGACGTCCTTGCTTTAACAGCTAATGAAATGTTTCCTGAAGCTATACAATGCTATTACAATGAAGATAAAGGTTTAATGGTTCCGCAAGGAAAATTTGACAAAGACTCTGAGTTCAGTGTTATGAAACTTTACAAAGCATTTCATGATGGTCAAGAGATTGGATTTGACTTATGTAAGTCTTCTAGTCCTTGCTTTGCTGAAAAGTTTAACTTTTCTATTCAGACTAAGACTTCATTCATAAGAAAGCTTAAGTTCTGAGGTCATGAATGAGAAAAATAATAAGGTCATTTATTTTTGTCAGCAATGAGGTCATTCGTGATAAAAATAAGCCGCTAGCGGCAAGGCGAAGCCCATGTGGTCATTTACAATACTGCGATGGTAGAGTTTAAGAGTTGTGCTTCAATGTAGAGACAGTCCTTATGGTCTGGAGGTAAGAACACTGGGCAGTTATGGTCATGAGTGGAGAACATGTCTATCCAAAACTCACGATTGAAGCCAGTTAATTTATAGTATTTAGGGTTAGGAAGTGGTGAAGTTCTTGTATGACCAATGAACTCATTTTCAACTCCCTTACTTAAGTTTGAATATAATATAGCTTGCTTTCTATCCCAAATGCCAGGTGTTACAATCTTTGAAAATTCATTTTTCCTCGGAAGCATTGCATCATAATTGAAAACATTCTTGAAGTCTTCATTGGGTTCAGAGATTTGAAACCTTATACGTAATGGATTTTCTTTCTCTTTAGCTACTTCATTGAATGGTGAATATATAACAAACTGACAGTCATGAGTTCCATCTTCATTTTCATTAAATTCATAATGAAAGTCTATAAGTTGTGGCTGACTACCTTCTTCTTTCAGTTGTGCAAGAAACTCACGTAAAGGCTGTAAAGTTTGTACTTCAATGTTGAACTTTTTCTCGAACATCTCATTAAATGAAATCATACATTGCAACAATGTTGTATCGTCTTTAAAGTATTTGTATATGTGAATGTTTTGGGCGCTTAAAGACTGTTCGTCATTTTCTATCTCGACTTGAAGTATAAAGTCAATCTTTCTGAAAGCACGTGTTATATACATAGATGTTATGCCAATGTACTTCTCTTCATTTATGTTCACAATCCAGTCTGTTGGAAACTTAAACGTTACTCTGTTCCCCTTTATTTTGACGTCAGGGTTTTCACTACTGAACGCAACAGTTAAAGGTATTTGTCTATACATTTAATTCGGATAAAAATAAACCATTTACTCTTTCTTTGCTTCAGCTTCTTTAGCTTTTTGTTCTTCCTTTGCTTTTGCTTCTTCTCTAGCTTTCTTCGCCAGCAAACGTGGGTTCTTTTGTCTTCCAGCAGCTAATGCAGCAAGTTGTTTTTCACTAAGTTTTCTCTTTGGTCTCTCTGGCTTTTGTTCTTGTTTTTGTTCCTTCAGTTCGGATAAAATTTGCTCGCGAATTTCTTTCTTCAATGCTTCAACATCTATGACCCCTTGGGTCTTGTCCATATGACTTGTCTGAGTCATTTGACTGCGGATAAAAATCTAACTTAAAACTTTAACCGATGTAAAATGAGCTTGTCAAAATCAGAGCGAGAGTCTATTATATTAAATGACGCAAGAGGAATACAACATCCTTTCTATTACGTAAGTCAGAGTAAAGATGGTAAAATATACGTAAGAAAAAGAAAGGTTCCATTAGCGAATGCAGAAAGCGACAACATTAAGGTGCATGGCACCGAGGGCGAAGCCCATATAAAACCTTCTATTCAAACTGAAAAGTCAATAGAACCAGAAGAAAAGAAGCCAGATTACTTTCAATAACGAACCAAGAGCTTATTGCAAAGTTCGTGAATTTCATTGAAAAACAAACCGAGTCAAAGAATCCTGACCCGCCAGTGAAAGAAGTTGAGACAAAAGAGAATGTACAGTTCATTGAAAATGTCAAGAAACAACTTCCACCACGAATGCCAAGAAGAAGAGTGAGAATAATGAAGTAAATAGATATTTTTATCGAAGTAAATACATGCAGAACGAACAGTTAAACGAATTTACTCCAGCAGAGCATATTCATCAGATTCGCTCATATTTCGATATCATAGACAATGCAGTTCAAATTGGTGACACTAATAGAAAATATTCTGACGCAAAGATTCCATCACAACCTGGAACTGCTAAAGATAACACATGGGTAACATTCAATCTCTCACCTCCTGGTGAAAATATGTTGGACCTTTACAATATATTCATTACGTATAAAATGGAAGGTCAATTTATTGTAGATAAAGAAATTGGTTCAGGTTCCAATAAAACAAACCCACCAGGATTTTGGATTGGTTTCGATGACGCTTTCTATGCAGTTGCTGGATATCAAATCCTTGCAAATGGTCGTATCGTATATTCTCAAGACAACGCAAGAGAAGAAGCATATATAACTTCAAACTCACAAACTACCGAACAAATAAAGAAAGTAGATGTTTTCTCAAAGACTCGACATGAAGATGTATGGAGTCATTCGGGAACATGCAGAACAGGACAAATTGTTAGTGGTCCAATTACAGCAGGAAAATCATTTGATTTTAAGCTTCGTTTAAGAATTCCTGTTAGAAGATTTTCCATTAGAAGCTATTCGATTTATTCCAGCTTTTGCAGGAAACATTCAGCTTAAAGTAAAGTTCAGTAGCGACGCCTTACAATGCACATCTATATCTGTAAATGATATCATTGCTTTCAATCCAACTCTTAAAGTTGCATTTGCTTCAGATTCAAATCCACCGACAAATAAATTTGTTCCATGGAATGAACCATTCACTATGATAACGAAGGTAATAGAAGCTAGTGGAACAGTTACTATTACAACTGTAACCCAGCAACTATTTCGAACAAAGATGGATTTTAATGAATGTTTCATTCATCCAAAGTCATTCTCTTTAGACCCTAACATTTATACAGAACTTGTAGAACATTATACAAACGAGGCTTTATGTTTTCCTGTTAAAGTTATGGATTGGATTCCTATGGACGGTTCATTCTCAAAGAATACAGATAGTTCAAGTGCAACATTTACAGCAGCTTATACGCCTATTAATGTTAAAAGTATTTGGGCACTATTTAGAAAGAAAGACAACTATTATGTTAATTTTGAGAACCCTAAGTTTAAATATCTTCAGCTTTCCATGGGAGCTTATGGAAATATGCCTGCAGAACCTGAAAAATCATATGGACCTGTATTTTATGAAATGGTTGCGAACGCTTGCAATACAAACAATGATATGATTGGATTTAATGAAGATGTTATGAGGTCATTGGTGGATGATGGTAGTGTGGAACATAAATGGGATAGCTATGACAACACACATTTCTTATGTGGTTTTCCAACAGAAGTGGACTTTTGCTTCCAGCAAGGTCAAACATCTACTGCTCCAATAACATACAAATTGTCTGTTAAAGGACCTATTGAACTAGCAACTGAAAATACCAAAGCCACTTATTGGATTTATGAGGGATTGTTGCTTTGCACAGTGCGTCAGGCATCCCAATAATAAGATTGATGACTATAACTTAGCTACGGACGACAGTGAGGAATAAAGGATGAACGTTTATTTTTAAAGCTTATAAATGAGTTCTTCATCAAGCTCTCGTGAACCTTCACCATCTATGAAACAAACTTTACCAAACGATTATGGAGCACCTATTGAATATTTCTTACGAGCTGCACAATGGCAAAGAGCAGTCTCACCAAGGTTAGGTGTTCCACCAGCTCCTGTCAAAAATAGCATTTGGTCAAGTCCTTATATAAGATATGGTCTCCCACTAGGTTTGCTAGCTACAGCAGGAGCAGTTATGATGTTGAAAAGAAATAAAGCAAATGTTGTAAATAATACTGAAGTAGCTGAAGTTAAACAAACTCCAACACCTTCACAAGCAAAACCTTCAATGACTCCTGAACCTATGGAAGTACAAACTCCTGTTCAAAAGTCAACTCCTAAACCGACTCCAACATTTAAACCAGAACCTACTCCTCAAATAAATCGTAAAACTCCTGCGTTTCCTTACTGAAAAAATAACGTTATTTTTATTTTATTTGAACATTTTATTTAGAGTAAAATGACGACTAAAGTCACTGAAGCAATGAAACAAAAGTTTTTGGTAGAATACATTAAATCAGGAACTATTCCAGAAGGTTTTTACATTCATACTATGAAGGATGGTAGAGTTCAGTTTAGAAAGATAAAACAACCATTAGATAGAGAAGGTATATTAAGGAAGATTAAACTTCATGAGGACAACATTGCTAAACTTAGGAAGAAGTTAGAAGAGTTGGAGAAAGCAGACGACAGTGAGGAATAAAATATTTCATTAGTTTTATTTTTACTGAAAATTTTTATTTGGATGTAATGACGAAAACTATTGAGATAACAAACTACAACGGTCATGAGTTCAAGAACTTGTTCTTCGTTCCTCGTGAAAATACATTCTATCAGATACGAGGGAGAAAGGGTAAAGTTAGTTTGAGCGTTTATGACTACAAGCATAATGGAAAGTTTATACAAGCAATAGATACAAACGGTAAGCGTGTTTCATTAGCTTTGTCAAAACTTACATACATTTATTTTGACAGTGATTTTGACCTATATGAAGAAGAAAGTGAGTCAGAAGATTATGAGCTGTTATATGAAGCACAGCAATGGGAGGAGTTGCAATACTTTTGTAAGTGAGAACGTTTCTTTTTACAGTAGTGAAGTCGTTTGTGAAAACATTAGTGAGGTGAAGTGGTTGGTGGCTTTGTAAATATTTAAGGTTAAGTTAGTGTTGTCGTTTGTGTTGTAAAATATACGTTAACGGTTTCGTAAAGTGTCAAATTCACATATAATGGGTAAGGAGGCGCGCAGTGCCGCCGTACCCATGATATGTATGCTAACTTTTATTATAAGTTCATCCAATAGTTCATTGCATCAATGATTTGGGAATCACGATGAACATAAGTATAACCGATACCGCCAGGATAAGCTCTAGCGTTTGGATCATAAGCCTTAACATATGGTCTATCCTTACAACCATTGCAGTCCTTTGTGCACAAACTGCAAGAAGATTTTCCATCAGGAATTCCTTTAGCTCCATTATTCATGAAGTAATAGGATGAAAGGATGCATCTAATTGGGAAGTCATCCTTGTTATTGTAAACACCATTTGGATACTTGAACAGTCTTATTTCATAATTTCTGTGGCTATTTGCATCACATCCTCTTGCAAGAACGCATCCATCATTATACATGTTTCTACTTGATGATCCATCATTTTGTTGGTCATGATCATCGTTCTGGATGACTTTTCTTCTGTTGTCTAATGCACCTCTATCAGAGTCTGGATGATTTGGATAATCACACCACCAAATCTTGATCTTAAGAATTTCATCCTCTGTCAAGCCGTTTTCTTTCAATTTTCTTGTCAAACCTTTTGTGAAAGAATAATCACTGTCCAATTCGACCAAGAGAGGAGCTTCTCCACCTGTTAAGACTTCTAACCATGTAATGAAGTCATCAGGTAATTTACCGCCTAAGCTTTCCTTGACTTTTCTGAAAATGGCAGCTAAATCGTCTGGATGAATATGTTTGGCCGCATCAATTCTATAACCGCTGAAACCAATTGAAATCATGTCAACCATGAAGTCAGCGATTCTTTGTCTGACGTATTCCTTGGATGTATCTAAATCAGATAATCCAACGAGCCATCCTGATGAAAGGATGTTTGGATCAGCCCATGAATCGCATGGTTTGTCGCAGTGGAAGTCTTCTGGTCCATAAGGAACACCTGGGAATTCTAATACGTTTGTTCCTTTTCCTGTATTTGGATTAACTTCATATGTATATGCTGGTGTATAGAATGGAGATCCATTTTCAAATGCAGATGATGTCTTGTTGCCCCATGTAACGCAATTTGCATTTGGATTTCTGTGGTTGGACAAATCATTGCCATTTCCTGTCATATGGTTAATAACTGCATCACCATAGACTCTTAAACCATATGATCTGCATTTGTTGATCATGTTTCGGAGTTGATTTCTTGTTCCCATTCTTCCTTCAAGTCTGTATGAAACTGGTTGGTACATGAAATACCATGGGTTCAATTCCCACTCGTATGGTTGAGAACTCATCAATTGTTCTTGGTGTGGGAAGATTTTGACACCTAAATATCCAGCTTCTGCAATTGTCTTGCATTCTTCGGCAATGTCGTCATCTGGCCAGCCAAATAATTCAACGATAGCACCCTTTTGGCCGTTTCTGTATCTCTGGTCATTGTTTCTTTGTTTTAATGGAGCTGCATTCCAAGCGAAATCAATGTCATCAAGAATTAATGTTTCTCCTGTTGCTGCAATGACTTTGACCTTAAGGATTTTATTGTAGCTTGAATCGTAAACTTTGGAATTTGTATTTTGTGGAATTCCATCAAAATAATAAGTCAAATCGAGTTTTCTCGATGTTTTTGTAATAATATTAACTGTGCATGACTTCATTCCAGCACTATACTTGAGCTGTGAATAACCTGCGAGTGTTGACATATCTTGGAATCCTGGTTTCCATCTGTCTTCGCCTCTCTTAGGTGTGTTCCATCTGTTATCGAAATACTGTGAGTCCATGGCTGATTGTTGTCTGTTTTTGCATGAAAATGACTGATAAATTTGGCAATTTGGTAAAGCATCATATTGATTCGAAATTGTTGTTGTGGCTGCTTTTGTAGAAGAAAATGCAGCAAGCATTCCAATTACAACACCAATTAATATTGAAACTGTTGAGATTAATGACAAAGTAATGCATTTCTTGTTAAAACAAGACTTTTTAGGTTCATCTTCAATGAGAGATGCATCACCTGCTTCGGTGTCTCTCAATAGAGCTTCATCATTTCCATACATCTTATAATAAAATGATTTTTGTGATGTCCTCTCAAATTTGGCTAAAAAGTTCTCTACCGGGTTCTCAAAATTCCTCATTGTTTTTTTTTCTATAAAATATTCAATTCAGGACTCAGTTTTCAGGAAAATAAAGGTTAATATGCAATAACTTTTTGAATGCTCAAGCAATAAAACTTTTTATAAGCAAGTATGCGACTATAAATGGATCATTATTATTGGTCTTTTATAAGTTTGATATACAAATTAATACTCTTGGTTCCAAATGATTTGAAAATCGGGATATTCTAAAGAACACCTGGCCTTAGAAATTATGCTTTATTTGATTTGTAAATTTCATCTGTAAAAGCGCAAAAAAGCTCTATAATCTTTCAAAATTTAGGTAAAAAGCAAAAATAAATCGATTTTTACGTTAATAATTAAATTACCTAATTTTAAAATCTATTAATGTATCATATTAATAATAATTTTCCGAAGAAATTTAAATGAATTGGTCAGATTTAGATGAATTTTTATAGGAATGAGAATATCGAATTAGTAGTTGTTTTGAATCATTATAATTTAGAGGATTTGATTATAGATCATAACTTTTTCTTGATTTTAATAATTAATGGAATAAGATGGTGTTTTTGACATAAACGATATGGGAATGTCACAATATAACTTTAATAGATGATCTGCATTAAAGAGAAATAGGAAAATGGCATATAACTAATAACCAAAATTGGTTACAGTCGTTACTTTTCAAAAATTGAAATAATCATGTCAAATTTCCTCTGAAAAATGCATAAAAGAAGGTTAATATTAATTAGAAAAATATAATGAATCAAATAATGATTGATACAAATTTATATATCAATAGTAGTGGCCAATTATTTCCTCATAAAATATTTTCATACAGATTATTTTCTTACGAACTTTTTTTTCGTCTGATAAAATAAATTGATATTTTAAGCATGATTCTAAATGAGATAAGTTATCTACCTTTATAAACATCCATACGATATTCTCATACAAAAGTTTTTAGGTTGGCAAAACGTTGACTGATGGTTTACTGATATAAAATCGGTCTTATTTGTTCTTCATGTAATGCATAATAGGATAGATGTATAGATCCACTTGTCTGCGATTTACATATAGCTATTTGTCGAAATTTGATAGAGTTATGAATAATACTTTTTATATAAATTAATTTTGTTCAATAAACACGAATTAGAGGTCATAGAGCTATTTTCAATTGTCGAAAAATAATTGGAACAACGCTTCACTCAATTTAAACGGTTTGGATATAAAATTTCTTAATATAGTAAAGATAAAGCATTAACACTTATAATTTGTTGAAAAGGAGACTACATTAGAGTTACAGCATTTCGTTATCTAGATGAGAAAATCCATTGAAATATCAGCACTCAAATAAAATATTTTTTGAATTAACCCAAAAAAATAAAATAGAATTCTGCACCATTTCATTTTTCAATAATGATCAAGCAGCAGAGCATTTCAGATATTATCACTACTAGGAAGACACGGAAAATTCGATTGATTTCGGAGCAGAGCGTGAAAGATCATGAAGAGTTACAGACTAGAATGGACATGAATGGAGTTAAAATTGATCTGGTAGCTGCAATCTTAGAACATATATATGGTGGTAGATTTACCGTCGAAGAACTGCTTTGTCTTGCCAGAAAAATTTCGAAGAAAATTAATTTAAAAATTGATCGACTCGCGCATCGGAATAGAAGTGGTTTGTTATGCTGGTTCGCAGAGAATTGGAATTTAATATACCCAAAGCTTCAAACCCTATCAAACTTTAATACAGCGATATTTTCTCAAGTATATCAAGAAGAAGAGCTCAAAACCAATTACAACCCTATTGATCCATCTGATATATGTCAGCTTTTAAATAACCACTAATGTATTTTGTTTGAATTTGTGTGAGAAAAAAATTGATTTTTTCAATTCAACGAAATAAAAATTCATCTTTATTGAGTAACTTTTTTCCTCAATTTTTATATGTTGTTTTACTACCTAAGGTCAATAATCAAAAAAATATCAAAAAGAAATACAAAATTGATTTATCGTGAAATAGCCGTGTAATGGCTGGAAGTAATTTGAAAACACAAATATATAGTACTTCATAATCAAAAATAATAATAAAAACTTAAATCTGATTGTTGACCAGTAAATTCAGATTGCAGATAGTATATATTAATCAATTATTTTGAAAGTTTTGTTAAATTGACAATAATCTTGTCAAATGAGAATTAAAATTTTTGTTTCCAAAGATTCAGAGAAATTGGATGAATGAGCATGTCATAAAATTCTCCATGATCTAAAATTTTATCTCGAAATGACTTGTTTATAGGTTCTTGCCTCAAATGCACAGAGATTTTATTTCTGTAGTGGAAAAAATTGAATGTTTTTATCATAATTTGTAAAATTATGTTGGAGCATGATTATTCGAAAAAAAATTTATTGAATATAAAACAAAAATTGAATTGAAACAGTGACTTTTCAAAATTTTGAAATCATAAAACAGTTATGAATATGCTAAATTTGTCGAGAATGAATAATATTACATGATCTTGAGAATCAAATGTGCTGTTTATGTGGAATGAGATTTTTCAATTGCTGCAGATTTAATTCTAATGATTTTCAAAATTGATAGATATCACAAAAAAATTGAGAAAATTATTTGAGCATTAATATTTAAATTAAAGTTCCATTTGGGCTTTAAAGAATTAACACTAAATTGAAAAACGATAGTTCTTTATTATTTCAGAAGAAATCGAACCGTTGAGCACAGAAATGAATACTTGAAATTATTGATTTTTGTATCGAAATTCTTGGACAACATGAGTATTGTATAATTTACTTGATTATTATTGATAAAATATTGAGAGTGAATTTTTTTAGAGTGAATATTATATGCGTTAATATATTTTTAATTTAAAGTTTCGTTATTATACAATCAAAATTGAAAAAGTTTTCAAATTAGTTTTATCAAATGATTATTTTTTGAGATCATATTGACAATTTTTCATCTTTATGGTGATTTACATTTCGAAATGTAAATAAAACTATCCTTATTATCTTTTCTTGTATTTGGGGATGAATGTGTAGAGCATGCTTAAAATCATTTCTTGATTTGTTTTTTGGTCAACCAAAAATCAGTTGGCATATGAAACCGATTAATAGATATTTTTGATAGAACGATGGTGAAACAAAGCCCATTTTTCTTCCATTTTTCATAAAATTTAAGTGACTAACTTATTTTACCAAAAAAATTGAGATAAAACCTATTGATGGAGCTGTTAAAGTATTTTTATCTCGTCGTCTAATAAGGTGAAATGGGAATTCTCTATAGAAATATGCATCCAGATGGAGTACTATATGTTGCTTGTTTATTTATGCAGAATGAAAACATATTTATCTGCATGAAAAACGGAAATTTTACTGCTATATAAAATTTTGAAAAATAGGTAATTTATTTTGTAAGTAAAAAAGTGGCATCTGAGTATATTGTTTCTGCCTTATTTGGTCAATGAAACAGAATTGATCCACATCATTATTATACAGTAATGATATACTGTGGAATGAAGAAGATTGATATTACAATAATCTAATTATTCGAAGTTCAACTCATCATATTGTTCCATATTAAGTTCTGTCAAAATGTAAGCTATTCAATTCTATCGTCGGGGGAAGTATCACAAATCTATCAATTTTTTTGTAAAAGTATACAAAAACATATGGTGTTCAATTAGTTTATAATAATATAAATATTAAGATTATCCAAAATAAGAAAAACTAGGTTTTGAGAACACTTTTGAGATGATAATCAAAATATTTTGATTGAAAAATAATATATTATTTATCAGATATAGAATGGATTTTTTCAAATTTAAAAATTCTGAAAAATAAACAGTTTTGTAAAGTAAAAAAAATGAACGAAAACTCGAGACCTCGTATTCCAAATGAATGGGTAAGATATATGTATGAAAAACTTGAAAGTGGTGAGTAAGGATGTCAATTTGGAAGAAAAGTGAGAAAATTTTGATTGTGAACTCATCTCTAATATTTTGGCTCCTTAATATATTTGAATCATGATCTTTGAGAAGAGTTCTCAAAAGTATTCACAAAAGCTATTTTTCCTTGAAATTTAAAAATCCTGTTTATCATATATTAGCGAATTCAATTCCCTACATATTTCAAAATATTCTATGAACATTTCAATTTTTGAAAAAAACATATTTTTTCCAAATATATTTATTATCATATTTCTAATAATATTTCCTAAAGCGTCACTTTTTACTTCCTCGATGATTATTTCCCTCTCAAAAAATTCAATAGCTTACATTTTGACAGAACTTAATATGAAACAATATCTTGTATTAAAGTTTATACCGTTATATTTTCAAAATATTACAACAGTAGCAATCCCATACATAGCCAATGATAATCCAATAACGATTTTATCTTAATAGAATTTAAATCAATACTGAAACAGCAGATTGGCAAGTCATAATATTATAATACTATACATACTGCTTGGTAATAAAAATCTCAAAGATCTTAGCATAACTTTTGTTTGATTATGAGATACAGACCCTACGTAGCTCTCACAACTCCAAATGTCACTAACTGATCAGAAGCCTATGATAAGAGATCTAAATACGCAAATTTAATGCGCATTTAATTTAGATTTATTATCGAAATACAAACATAATATATATCTCTAACTTACCTTTGAATAAAATCCTGATTTTGTTGATTAACTTCCAGAGATTTACTAAGTTTTTGAAACATATGAAACAATTCCTTAATTTGATCCTGTAAAATCGTTATATCACTTTCTTGCCTTAATAATATATATAAATTTATTATGTACATGTATTTTAATCAGTTTTCGTTGATTCGAATATTGTCACAAAGTTCCAACATTAAAATAGTAATACAAATTTGTTCTATTATTGACATATTTTAGGATAAATATATAATTT